TGCTGTAAGTCCTTGGGTTTATCAGTTTTGCACATTGAGAGACTGAAATATTTGCCCATTCCTCCTTGCAAAACAGCTGGAGCTCAGTGAAGTTGGATGGAGAGCGTTTGTGAACAGCAGTTTTCAGTTCTTTCCACAGATTCTCGATTTGGGTCAGGTCTGGACTTTGACTTGGCCATTCTAACACCTGGATATGTTTATTTGTGAACCACTCTAATGTAGATTTTGCTTTATGTTTTGGATCATTGTCTTGTTGGAAGACAAATCTCCATCCCAGTCTCAGGTCTTTTGCAGACTCCATCAGGTTTTCTTCCTTTAAACAACACTTTTTATGGACATCTTTAAGAAATGGCTTTGTTCTTGCCACTCTTCCATAAAGGCCAGAGTTGTGCAGTATACGACTGATTGTTGTCCTATGGACAGAGTCTCCCACCTCAGCTGTACATTTCTGCAGTTCATCCAGAGTGATCATGGGCCTCTTGGCAGCATCTCTGATCAGTCTTCTCCTTGTATGAGCTGAAAGTTTAGAGGGCCGGCCGGGTCTTTGTAGATTTGCAGTGGTCTGATACTCCTTCCATTTTAATATTATCGCTTGCACAGTGCTCCTTGGGATGTTTAAAGCTTGGGAAATGTTTTTGTATCCAAATCCGGCTTTAAACTTCTCCACAACAGTATCTCGGACCTGCCTGGTGTGTTCCTTGTTCTTCATGATGCTCTCTGCGCTTTAAACTGACCTCTGAGACTATCACAGAGCAGGTGCATTTACGGAGAGTTACACACAGGTTTATACTTGTGTTGGTCTCACCAAAATACAGTTTTATATCTTTATGTTTGAAGCCTGAAATGTGGCAAAAGGTCAAAGTTCAAGGGGGCGAATAATTTCGCAAGGCACTGTATATTTATCTCAATTAGCCTCCTTGCATAATAGTCAAATGTTTTCAAGAAGATGGGGGGGGGGGGTCTATCAATATTTTTTTGGTTTTGCAGTTTGCAGTGTTAATAACATAATTTGTTTATCAAGATGTATGTAAACTGCACAAACAAGATATATAATGATTATAAACAGAGTACAAATAGTTTTTTTTTGTATTGAGAGTTTTTTTGTATGTTAAAAAAACAAAAACAAAAAACAAATTATACATAGCCAACAAATTCCCTCACTGACATTGCCTGAAACATTTGTTAAACATTCTCAGCTTTTTTTTTTTTTTTTTTTTTTTACCAAATTTTAATTTAGAAAGTCATTTTAATATGATGTAAATGTTGGTGATAAAGTATGTTTTAGACCAGTGGTTCTCAACCATTTTTCTTTGAGGGGCTGTAGAAAGGCAGAGCCCTCAGTCCAAAACATCAGCTCTCCCAAATGTATCAAAACATTCTGTAACTGGACAATTTGTGGGACAGATTTATATACATGTTTTTTTTTTTTCAATTACCATAGTGTATTCTTAAGCCCAACTACCATTTTTTATTTTTTTGTTTGTCTTTTTATAGAATCGAGAGATTGTGGAGGGATGTGTACATGGCAGTGACAAATGTCTACTATAATGTTATTCACGCATTGGAAGATTGGGGACATCTTGACATTTCCAACCAGATTCACCTATTCTGTTGCCATTACATTTTTATTCCACGACTGCAAATGTCTCTTGATGTGTTTCGTGAAGGATGGGACAATCACCCAATGAGAACTGAGCAAAACTTGTCACCCAATCAACTGTGGCAGATGGGAGAAATGCAAACTCCTGTTCCAGAGCCACCAATGTTAGATGTATGTATCAATGTTTACACATTTAATGGCAATGAATTTTATGTAACTTTTTATCTATTATGTAGGACCTGCAAATACCTGAGATAGAGTGGGAGTCAAGTGGATTTTTTAGTACCTCAGACGCTGGAGTACAAGTTCCCGTTCTCCTGAATCCCCTCACTGAACAGGAAATGGACCAACTCAAACGGACACTAGACCCTCTCACTCCTTCAGATAGTTATGGAACTGACCTTTACCTAGCCACTGTTGAATATGTGGAGCGCATCGTTAATGCCAGATAAAATGTGTGCATATGTACTGTAACTGTTAGGCTACAGGTTCTCAAACTATTCAAGTACCACCTTATTGGTCTATAAGTTCTTTTTTTTTTTTTTTTACCACCTTATTAAAGTTCAACCTTCCGAATGCAACCAAGCCTACATCAAAAACACTAAACCATAACAGAAAAAAGCCTAAAACGCCAAAGTAAAATATACTTCTCAGTAAAACATAAATTAAATAATCTGTTATTCAAATGCAGTCTGAAATTTCAGATGACTCCTAGTAATTCCACTGCTGTAGACGGTTGTTTTGTTATTTATAGCCCGGTTATCGATATTTTGCGTACAAGTGGTGCAGTAATTTGTCAGAATTCCCCAGCCCCAGAAGCTGCAGAGAGGCCGCAAACACAGCCCTTCGTTCTGCAGGTCCTTTTAGTTCAACAAGAGACAAAAACCAATGTTAAAACAGTAATAGAAATGACAGATACCAAACCTGATTTCAAAAGGTTATATTGAAGATTTTGCAAGCAATATTACAAGATAACGGTCTGCGAACACAAGTCTCGCTTCGCGTTCAGATAAGGAGTGGCCCCGGGGACGTCTTTCACCCTCCTGGTCAGAAGAAAAAGAAAAAGCCCCCGTGCCTCCTCCTGTACATCTTTTATACTGTACATCCAAGGTCACTGACATCACAGATTCGTGGACTCTATGACTTCTTCTGGCCAGCTGCCAAAGCCTGCACCTGCTCTGATAACCACTTGTCTCCCTCTTGTCCCCCTCCCATTCTCACACAGACTAACCTTGAACTCACTGCTCTTTGAGATTTACACAAACAAGTGCTAATTTGGCAACAGAAACAATACTAAACTGATTTTAATTTTAACTGGTCCAGGAGTTCAATATTCCAACAGTGGTTGCCTACCTCTGGCCAATTTCAATTTCCTCAGATTTTTAAGCCTTTGGACCATCTCTCCAGTGTTGAAATTATGAATAGCCATGTGTAAAAGTTATTTTTCTGTGGAATGTGTGACTTATAAATGGACCAGCTGAAAAAGACACACCCTACTGTATTGTTTGGCTTTGCAATGAAACCATGTTACTAGAATCGGGCCATCAGGTCATTTTCAAATTATGGACAATAACCTGTCCCTGCACTTCCCATCCCTGAAAATGAAATATAAAAAAAAAAAAACACAATGCAGTAAAACAAGACAATATTAAATTGGGGGCCACATGATAAAGCCAGGTAATTTCAGATCATGTTTTTGCAGTTTTTAATTTTTATTTCACTTTGAATATCCAGTATATGTTGAAAACCCAATGTCCCCGACCCCATTTTCACACCTTTTGTGCAGTTAAAATGAATATTTACAATAAGTCTATAAATATGTTTCTTGCCAATGCCAAACAAACAGAGAATAGTCTTCAATAATCTGCAGATCTTATATGAAAAATCACAACTATTAATTAAAATAGTAAAGAAAAATCTCTGTCCCTCAGTTTTGTGTCATTGGTGTTATCAGCATTACTTTCCAGGATTTGTAAGGTTAAAAAAAGATGTGAAGAAATATTTTCCTGGTCTGATGAGACCAAGTTAAAAGCCTAATCCTGGGAAATATAAAGGAGGACATAATTTCCTCACTAAGAACAAGAAGTAACTTTAAAGTGTGATTTTATACTGTGGGTCATTTTGAAATGTCATTGGTGTTACGGCTGTTTGCATCAGTTAGAATTTCTCTGGGGCAAAAAACAGGTTCACAGCTAAAACTATCCAACATTGCTGTGATACACCACCTTTGTTCAGGAATGACATAGAAATACTTAAGAAAAAGGGACAGTTGATTTAAATTCGTCATTGGTGTTACGGTCACTGGTGTTACAGCCCCACATTAAATGAATGGAGGCATCTGATGCAAAGTCACTGGTGTTACACTTTTGCCATTGGTGTTATAAAAACACTGGGCTTAATTTAATTCTCCCTTATTTTAATAAAATATTGTTCTTAGACAAAATGGCTATTGTTTAATATCCTAAATGCAAAATTTTACCCAAATGAGAAAATGTTTTCTTGCATTATTGCCTAGTTTGTCATAAAAATAGTTATAAAACCAATGACACAGAATTGAAAATAAATATCTGAAATTATAAAACAATGAAAGTAATACTAAGAGGGTATTGAACATGTCCTGGTGATTATGTACAAATATTGTACATGATTTTTTTTTTTCCCGGACAGAAAATGCCCATATTTTGATAATGGCCCCCCTACATTTTAAGCCAAAATGCTGTGACCATTTGTTGACTTACTTGCATTGCAATAAAACAAAATCTTGAACGTTGCTGATTCCTGTATTAGGCACAAACATGGGTGCAAATAATACAAAAATAACCAGTGGAACATTTTATTTGACTTGACTTGTCAGAACTATTTGGATTTTCTGGCCATTCTGAGGTAAATATGAGGTTCAACAATTAATTTTAAAATGAACAACAATACATTGTACCACAATATGTTAATCAATGAATTGAACAGTTTGCTTTGCGATCAAAACATTTAAAACTAATTTTAAAACATGGAACCCTGAATATGTTAATAGGCAACAAGGATCAAGGCAATCCAAAACCGGTGTCACAGGTTGCAATGACCGCATCCAAGTCTTTTTCAAACTCTTGATAGGTTTTGTAATGTGACGGTAACTTGATGGTGTCCATGCACGTCATGGATCTAGGAAACTGGCCACGTTGGACTTTAACAGTAAGCCGAGTTTGAGGGACTTCCCAGTAGAGCCCTGCACTTGAGAAGACTTTTCCTTTTTTTCCGAAGAAGCTGTTGAACAAAAAAGTTGGATGAAAGGGAAACTTCAGAGGTCTTGATTCAGAAGGACAAAATACCTTGATTAACGTAAGTCTTTAAATAGTCACAGGTACGAGTTATCTCTTCAACAGAGCAGTCATCTTCGTCATCCGAGTCAGAATCTGTGCTTGGAATTGGCCATTGAATCGGCGAAAGAATCATCTAGAGAAAAGAGGGAGATGTATTTAATGTATTAAGAATAGTTTAAATTACAGCAATTAAAGCAAAAGTCATAAAAAACCTCCGCTGTGATCTCTGCATCAACTTCTGATGGGAAAAACAATTTCACCACATCATCTCTCTCACAGAGTAAAGGCCAGATACCCGTTTCTTTCAGCCCTTTTCGAATCTGTTTTATTTGTTTGGATGCCCGACCTAAAACCTAAAAAAAAAAAAAAAAGAGTTCTTAAAGGCACACCGCGGACTTTGTGACCTAAAGAGTTGACACATATGAGTTATTTTATATGAATACTTGGGCCAATATACAGCGCTTGACACTTGCAATGCTCCGAGCGGGGCTGCCCTCTTGAAATACCGCCCATGTAACTTTCGAGCAGACGGACCGTCTGCCACCAGGTCACGTGACTTGGAAGAAACACTTGCTTTACGGCTACAGGCGCTGATATACTCATGGAGCTAAGGCTTTTGCTACTCATTTTTCACCTGCTCGACTCCTGGTCATGGCTGAGGCAAGGAAAAATTTTAAACCTTCGGAGGAGGCTAAAAAGAGGAAACGCGAAAGGGATCGTGCTGTAAGCTGCATGTCTGTATGAGCGCTGCTGTTCACCTGGTTCCTGGATGTCATCGACTGCAAAGATGTCATTCCACGCAGCACGAGCTAGACGCAGAACTCCCTCATCCAGGATATAGAAGTCCATGTGTGGTAGATTACTAATGCAGCGGTCTGGAGGCTGACCACAGCAGAGTCTCTCAATATCTGTAGGCATGTCTCTACAGTTTGAACACACACACCAGTGCATGCTGTCTGAATACACACTCAAAAGACACCGGCTGACTGTTTGTTGACTTTTGCGACAGTGCTGAGTTGCTTGTGGCCACTAGGGGCGCTAAACGTGAAAGTTGCAGGTCTAGCGCCCCTAGTGGCCAAGAGTTACACGGTGTGCCTTTAAGTTAAGTGTAATAGTGTGAGCTAATTTATTGTTGTAGCGCAGTAATAATTGTATAGCTAATTGGTTGGTGTTAGTCCGAAATTACAAACTGCTCATGTACAGGAATTGGAGTGTTTTGTACATTCCGTACTTCTTTCCTAGTCATATTCATTATTTTTGCCATTTAATTTGCTTGTATCATAAAATACCATGGCCTGACCATCTGAACAGAGGTCAGGCATCAGTGACTACTACTACTACTTCAGTGACACTACCGCATGAAGGAGGAGCTTCTCATGGAGCCATTTAATGTTGTCTTTAGTAGGAAGAGGCAAATCCCAAGCAAGACAGAGATTAACCAGGTTTTGCCGTTCCTCTTCTTTAAGGTCAGTTTTCTTCAGCTACATGTCGGAGACAAAACAAGTAAAGGTGGGACAAATGCAAAACTTCATAAAAGTAACACCACAAAAGCAGGGACGTGCAGTCAGGGGAGGCAGGGGAGGCAGAGCCTCACCTGCCATTATTGGAAACTAATAATTATTTTAGTTTAAATATATAATTTATATCCACTGTCCTATGCTTTTAATGTATATTCGGCACGGTTCCCATCAGTTTTGATCATTTCTGAAGTCAAAATCGCCGAAATCCCGTTATTCCTATTCAAAGAGACGAGGTGAGGCAGCGCTCCTGCGTGCCTCACCTCAGACCGCTCCCTCACAGTGTGTGTGTGTGTGTCTGAGTGCACTCAGCTCGTGCAGTTGATATATCACCGTTTGTTTCAAATATCCTGCTTTAAAAACATTTTTTAAACTCCTCTTAGTGTTTAGTAGTGTATTGCACGTATGTGTGTACAATTTATATTTAGTTTAAGTCTTTTGATCGTAGATGAACACACAAGGAAAAAGCTTGGCGTGAGGCAGGCGGTATCTGTGCCTCACCGCTAGGGGTGATAGTGAGCATAAAGTTCATACCAGAGTTGCTAACAAACAATCAACCCAAAATGCTATTTCTTTTGCTGGAAAATGGATGATTTGAATGAAGATTTTTTTTCTCAATTGGACTTTCAAACAAAGAAAGAATTAATATAGACTGGGAGACCACCACTACGAGGTTAGTCCGGCTGCGGGGGAGGAGTTTGTTAATCTGTGTTTTATGTTGAACATTGACAGATACCGGCAAAGTAGTGCTTTTCCGAAAAACACTGATTCAAACACTGCTCAAGAGTTCTGCAACTTGTTTAAATTATTGTTTATGTTCCTCGCGTCTCTCTCTCCTCGCGTCTCCGTCTCTCTCTGCTCCTCGCGTCTCCGTCTCTCTGCTCCTCTCTGTCTCTCTCTGCTCCTCTCTCCTCGCGTCTCTCTCTCCTCGCGTCTCTCGCACCTGCGCTTCTTAACACTAGGAGCGCCCCTAGCGGTCAACTGACCGTCACTCACTTTATTATGCTAATTACTGTATTCAAAACAAAACGCCAGAAGTTGAAATTTTATGACTTTTACTAGGTACTTGTTGTTTATATTTTGGTGTGTTTTGGTTTTGGAAAAAGTAAAGAAAACAAGATTTACACGCATTTTTAACTTTTCTAAACCACAGCCCTTTCTGCTGCCCCATGGAGATACATGGCGCAGGGGCGACTGTTGTCATAGTAACCTTTCCCGGGGGTTTTTCGCGCCTTATAAAAATGTATCAATATGTTGTCATTAGACTCTAAAGGGACTTTTTTATTATTATTTGGGAGAGAGAGGAGTACAAAATGAATAGAGCTGCAAGTACACGGTATGAAGCCCTGACAGTGCTTCAAGACATTGAATGAGAACAGTATGACGGAGGTGAGAGATGTCACATTTTGAGGTAGAAAGTGACAGCGGGGAGAACACCTATAATATTCTAAATCTGAATGTAAACCCATAGTGCATTCACGGCACGGGCAGCAGTGTTGTAAGTCCAGAAGCAATGACGCACATGAGCGTGCGTAATGCCAGCCATACGCAGGTGTCTGTGTGCGCGCTGTCGCTCCATTCTGCCTTTTCATTCATCATCAATTACATTATTATATTTATACATACAAGAAGGCAATACAGCAGAATACAATATCGCAATAAAATAGAACAATTCGATGAACTATCAAGGCAGAGTGCAGATCAGAGTGCTCGTCACCCGCGGACACTGCAGGAGGAGAGCGACTGTGGGGCAGAGGCGGCCCTCATATATCAATAAGGATATCATTCTTTTTTCATCCAGATAACACTGTGTGTTATTCTGCACAGCGCGCACTGCAAGGCAATGATTATAATTTTGTTCTGAGCATAAAGAGCACTGCTTGTCTCAAATAAATACAAATATATATATACATATATTTGTCTTTCTAACGTGTCCCGTGTAAAATTGAAGATTTTACATTGACGATGGTAGCCTAGCTGGTGATCTTGTGTCAATACGAATACTATTATTATTATCTAGATAATATTTCCCACGGTGATTTCGGCCTCTAAAGAGAAAACAGTCTGGAGATGACGTAAGAAGTAGACGCATATAGCAGCGCGAAGACGTTATGGTCCCGTGCTTTTCTAAACTATAATTTATATTGTTTGAATTTACATATTGTTACTGAGTCAAATATAACTTATAGTGACCAACCTTTTAGGTGTTTGCAAAGTTACAAAATAAATCTAGCCTGAAAAGTCATCGTAATTTTGATGGATCAGTACACGCAAAATGTGTCGTCTTAGTCTTTTATTTCGGCTAGAATTACAATTACTTAGAATATTTAGACAAATAATTTACACAGTTTCATTATGATCACGATTCCTTTGCAACATCAAGTTCTGGTTTAGTGAACAATCAATTTGGCAAAAGGCTGTATCAGCGCAAAATACATAGCGGTCAACTGACCGCAGGGGGCTGTGCAAGGTATGTTAAGAGCACGGCGGTCCTAGTGTTAAAGATGTTGTTTGATGCGGAGCAGAGTCAGCAGCTAGATTTGTTGTGAGATTATTAAAAGAAGCTGGTTCTCTTATCTTTACAGTATATAAAGTTTGTGGATGTCATTGCATTGGTGATTAAATGCTATTTTATTTGAATAATGATTGTAAATCTGACTTTTAAAGTCAGTGCCTCCCCAATCACAAACCTCACCGCACGTCCCTGCACAAAAGATAGGTTCTTACAAGATCAATAGTATCTCTCAGGTCCAAGTCAGGACAGTCCTCTACTACAACAGTAGCAGTTTCAATGGAGCCACCAGACAGTACATGCTTTATGGCAGGACTCAGACCAGGGAAACCAGGCCTCCGTAGAGGAAACAATGGCCCAGCATTCTTCCCGCCATGAGAAACAGTTCACCCTCTAGCATCATTGCTGAATTTGATGGAACCAAATGGTCGCTTTGGCCATCAAATATTTTTGTAACTGGACCATGTCCTAATTAAGATTAAATAATACATTTACAAACACAATAGCAATGTATTTTGCATAGAAACCAAAAAGAACATGCGTACCAACATTGATGTGGAATCCACTCCTCAGTTTGTTCATTAATGTAGACATAACATGCCTATTGACACCCAGTCCCACTGCTGCATCACCTACATAATCAGAGCAAGAAATATGAAAGTAAAAAAACAATCCAACAAATATTTAACTTTTATTTGACACACCTGCAAGTGTACACGCTAGTGGAGATGCCCACTCCACACCGTTGCTTTTATAAAAGCTCACATAGGACCTATCCTGTTCCTCTGGGCCAGTTCTTAAGTCGAAAGTAAAACGATTTGCTGGCTTTGAGCTATTACTCTTCAGTAGTTCCTTATTAAAAAGTGAAATGGCCCTTTTTGGATCTTTAGCATTTTTCCAGTTTGCTGAAGTGCTCGGGGCTGACTCAAAAATCTTATCAGAACCTTGGGCCTTATTGTCATCATCACCGCAAATGCTACAAGAGAAGATTTGAGAAATTGAAAAGCTAAATTGTATTGTTAATACACAACCTAAACAGTGAGTATACACAAAAGATACCTTACCTCTCAACACAAAAACTAGCATGAAACTCCACTTTATCCAAATCGAATAGCTGGTCACATATAGGGCACAGCACTTTCTATAAAGAAGAGACATCAACTGTTAAGCAAGTGCTCACATTTATGTGAAATATAAATTTAAAAAGGAAATAATACTAAGAAAACAATGTGACTGACTTTGGATGTCGGCTGAGGCGTGGAGTTCACTTCTTTGGATGTTGTTTTTCATGTGAGGATTTTTGCATTGGGTTTTTCATCAAGATCGACACACTCAACATCAGATTTCTAAAATAAACAAGCAAACAAACATTCCAACAAAGATTTAAATCTGTCCAAATCTAAAGAGACTCAACCAAATTGCAAATTGCTTTTTAAAATATAAAAGCCTTTTCATTCATACATTTCAAAAAAAGGTGTGCCCCGTCACAGGAAGGGGCTGGGGGTACTTTAGCACCTTGGGACTAACCTAGCACCTCCTATGAAATTATTCTCTCTAAAACATTCCTAGTAGCACAGACTCTTTTAATGTGAAAAGGAGTATGTAGAACAAATAATTTCTAACAAGAGGGAGCACTGCCTGAGGACTATTACTATATTAATGATTGCCGACAGCAAGATCAATTATCAATTTAGTCAGACACTGCTCCAGTGGCTCTGAACCTAAATCAGCATCAAACTATGATACAGCAACGTGTGCGCGGTTTAATTCAAAGCACATCAATAGACCAGCAGTGAGCCAAAGTCTGGACGAGGAAATTATACGTACAGTAGTATAAAGTTAAGGTAGCCCCACCCATTAGTTTATTGCGGTTCTCTGAAGTCAAACTTGGTCAAAAAATTATGCATGCATTTGTGAGCACTTATGTCTGTTATGTTGTTTAATAGCCAGAATGTTTTGTGAGCACTCTCAAGGAAGACCTCACCCACCGAGCGAGCCCCTTATGGGTCTAGTGCCATGAGCTGGCCACTGCCCAGCCGGAGAAAGAGAGAGGATGTGCCTTTATATTACGTAGGCTGCACTGTTGATTGTTAAGCAAGTATTGCATGATACGAAAAACAATATATTTTGTGATTTGATTTCTTATTTTAGTATTTCCATAATTTTCTTAGAATGGAATTACAGATGCACAGTATTACCCCTCTGTAATTTATATTTCAACGAAACATTTTTAAACCAAAGAACGAACCATACAGATTCAAAAGGATCAACATTTACTCACGTCCATTTCTTTGATTTCGCAACTCACTGCATGGAGAGGCAAAAGATGTAAGGGCATGGTTTCCTGGCAGATTTCGCAAGTTGCTTTAGGCATTTTACTAAATTCAGCTGCATTTTTTTCGAGAGGAGTTATATCCAATTCTCCCTGTATTGGTGCAATGTACAATGTGATCGTTCCTCCATTTGATGCTCTCTTAAGGTATGGTGTTGTATAACCATCCGCTTGGGGGCTTTCAGCTTTCTTTGGCCCCCTCCTCCTACACTGTAATAAATAATATGGTAGTTCAACTTAAAAGTCTTCGTTGAGTTTCTGCCATAAAATGTTGAGCTCATTGAAACAATATTGGCACCTTCAATCAACTAAAACAAGCAAGTTATAAATGGTTCATAAATCATTGCTAGAAATTGTTACAACACAATAGTTTTAGTTTAAACCAACTAACATGTTATGTTGTGCAAACGGTAAACTTATATTGCTTCTCCATATTAATTCAAGTGTATCCGTTATTCAAACTCACAAGCCTAAGTTGAAATAATTTTTAACTTACGATCTGATGTCAAAAGAAAACAATGTTTTGACCTCGTTCAACATATTGGGTCAAGTTATGAATGAAATTTAACTCACTCAATGCAGTTGAACGCAACCAAATATATTTGCTACTTGTACACATAATACTAAGTTTTCAATATTGGCACCGCTTACAGTCAAATGTTAGATGAACGCAAATGTTTATGGCAGAAATTGTACAGACACTTTTAAGTTAAAGGAATGTCTACTTGTGATTTCTATTGACATGCAAAAATAGGTTTTGTAGATAAAATTCACAATCAAGTAGTCACAGCGTTTATTTTCCCTTTTTATTTCTAGAAATGTAAAACATGGAACAAGTGTAATAGCAAATACCATATTGCAAAGCTATCCAGTTTTTTTTAAAACATTTCAGCTAACACATTATGTAATTCCATCTTGTACTTGTGTAGGCTTGTCACAATAGTTACTATTTTGACTTATTCAATAATGGGCTCGACATGGTCATTACATTAATATTTTTGCTAATTTTATATATTTTTTAATTACTATAATCCTTTTATCAAAGTAAATTTTGTCATGTTTCTTGCAACTTGTGTTATCAAATATTTGTTAATACATAGTTTTATAACGAGGGAATACTGAGACTTCCATTATTAAGTTCAGTTCATTATCCAGGGGTGTCAAGTGCTCCTCAATAATTATCGCAATATTTTGTAGCCTCAACATATTAAACTTCAAAAACGTTCTTATTGTGCCAGGCCTACTTGTGTTGTACACATGCTTGAAGGCACCCCTGCAGTGCCTCTGAGGCCACAAAAGCAGGGATTAGAAGAAGTCAACAAACTTTCAAAGAAGAGCCAATTAAACAGGCCTACTAACAACATTTGAAGTGTCCAAAATGGCTCAAAACAATGAGCAACAGCAGGGAAAAAAGAATACAACAGCATTTGACAACATAGATTAATTTACATGTTGTACCTCAATATTTTGTTGCGCAGTCCATGTATTCTGGCAGAGGCCTGTTCGGGCTTGATCTTCATGACCACCTTTTGGAGAAACTCGAACGTGTACTTCATTGCTGATGGGTATTCCAGATTTACAGCATAGATGATACCCATCAGCATTGCCACACCACATGCTACACTCTTCTCATGGTGAATCACTATGCTTTCTTCCACACAACGACAGCAACATCAAAGACCTGATGTGGGACCGCATCCTGCTCCTCTTCATAGGCAATCAGGAGTCCAAGTTCCATTCCCTTCAACGCTTCATCCAGATGGTCATAATGGGCCTAAATAAAAATGAAATTAGATGCTGTAGATGTCGTTACATTTTATTTATTGGTTTCTTTGGTCGAGACAGTGCATGTTAATGAACATACATGGTTCTCATGCATGTAAACAAGCCACACCGGATTGTAGCCTTGGGCTAATTTGCGTCCGTCGTTTTAGAAAATATACTTTGATTTCAGTAAGACTGAATAAAATCTATTACATGTCTATAATGAATAGTGTTAATTACCTCTGTACAGTTTGCCAAATATTTTTTTAAATACCATACATTACTCTAAACAGGTTTCTAAATGAGTTGTAATTATTGACGCAACTTAATTTGGATAAAATGTATCATACTCACATCACACAGCCGGAAAACATTGGATGAATCTTCTTTGAGGTAGAGTGGAAGTCCCAACAGAACAGCTGTCCTCTTCCTCTCATTTGTGTTCTGTAAAAGTTAAAAAAGTAGTTAATGACAAACTTTACTTCAGTTGCTTAATTTATTTCATCTTTATTTAACCAGGAAATTCCCACGGAGATTAAGAATCCCTTTTTCCTGGGGAATCATGGCCCCAGAGAGGAACCTACTGTACATAATTTTAGTGGTTTTGGAAACCGGAGTACCCAGAGAAAATCCACGCAGACACGGGGAGAACATTCAAACTCCACACAGAAAGACCCCGTCCAGGTGGGAATCGAACCTGGGATTTTCTTGCTGTGCAGCATGAGTGTTCACCACTGCACCACCAAAGTTGTATAGTTGTGTTACAAAAGACATGCCACCAAAACATTGTGATTTCAAAGAATATATACAAAAAAAAAAAAACATTTTGGAATCAACCCCAAAGTTGGCTCTAATGTGCAAAGTTGAAATACCTCAAATTACTCACTTACATTTTTCAAGAAGCTCCTGTAAGAAGCGAAGGAGAGGAATACGTCTTCATTCAATAACTAATTTTTGAATATCAGTGGCACTCCATGAATCCAACATTTTGTTTGAGAACACATTAAACCGATCAAACACAAACTACACTGAAATCAAACTAGGGCTATGCAATTCAACAACATTGAATTGAGGACTTATTTCAATAATCCACATACTTTTAAATTGACAGATCTACATTCGAATCCTGTGGTAGTTCTAATAATATTTAGAGAAGTTTGGACATTGAGGAATATAATGTGTCGAATAATTCTGGGTTGCAAAGGATTCATAGGTTTAATATTTTTATTTGTAGTAATTAGTTGAAAGGAATAGGCCACCGTTTTTCCATACTGAGATATGTGCTAACCTTAGACGAGTTCATCTGTACCTGTCTGGTCTCCACGTGTGCCTTCAGTCACGTAAACACAGCACAGACGGCGTTAGCATTAGCCTCTCTTCTCCTCTATAGCTCCAAACGAGGTGAAGATAGAAGCTACCAAGCTCTTTCACGTTTTCCCTATTTAAATATGGTTACGTGAAGTGTTACACTATAAAGTATAATTACACAAAATTAAACAATGTTGGTTTTCTAAGCAAATAAAAAGGGGAACTATATTGTAATAATACCAGGAGTACTTTGGCGTCCGCACAGTAAAGTGAAGATATTACTGCACAGATGTCGAAATATTCCTGGTGGCCTTACAATATAGTTCCCCTTTTTATCCGCTTAGAAAATCCACATTAGTCCATTCCATAGGAAAAACGTGGAAGTGTTTGGTAGCTTCCATCTTCACCTCGTTTGGAGCTATAGAGGAGAGGAGAGAGGCTAATGCTAACGCCTTCTGTGCTGTGTTTACGTGACTGAAGGCACACGTGGAGACCAGACAGGTACAGATGAACTCGTCTAAGGTAAAAACATATGTCAGTATGTAAAAACAGTGGCCTATTGCTTTAAAAAGATGCATGCTTTCTTGTTATTTATATGAACAAAGATGGATAGAACAACCTAAATATTTACATAAGAGTAGCATTCAAAAAATTTATTTATCGTGGCACAACTTCCTATATTTTTTTACTCAAGAGTACAGATACTACTAAGACTACTTACAAAAGTAGAGTTACTTCAAAAAACGTACGTACATGTACAACTGAATACTACCCATCTCTGCTTAGAGAAGTATACTTACATCTTTCTCAAGGGAGGTCAGAATGGCACCCAAGGAGCGGCACCTTCCAGACTTGCTTGAGGATTTGTAGAGTTCCAGCAGTCGGGGTACAAGTGCATCGAGGCCATTGAGAAATGAAGGTAGCAGTTCTTGGGCAGTAACTCGTTCGAATTCAGCTCTTATCTAGAATAATACAAAACAATTTATGCAGGGCAAGCACACAAAACAGGAATTTTTCAACAGTTACATCACCTGTCTTTCTTGAAGCAATGCCGGCCATCGGTTGCGAATTTCTCTTAGTAGTGGTTCATCACCTACTATCTCTCTCCTTCGCTGGGCAAATGTTGACACCATCAACTCATCCACCATGTCACGATCGGGGATGGTTTTAAGCATTTCCCTCTCCATCTTCATACGGTTCTCCTCCGTTACTTCGACACTGTCACCTTGTTCTGGACAAAAGTGAACTTCGCCTTTTTTTGACTTTTTGACTTTTCTTTTTGCCTCGCCTCCTTTTCGCTTATTCACAACCACTTCTGGAAGTCCAGCAACTGCCAAGTCACGGCGGAAGTTTCCAACCTTATATTTAAGGCTATGGACCCACGAATACCATCCCGCTGCAGACCCAGGATCTCTTAAGCTTGGATGCTTGTCCACAAGTGCTCTCGCCACAATCTCATAATGATGACTTTCAGGATATGGGGTAATTTTACACATACCATCTGCAAGACAATCTAGAATGTCTGACTTCATTCCTTTGTTTACCTCTAGAAGGTATCCAGCCTTTGCATATTGTGCATTGGCTTTCATTAACTTGAGTTCAGTGTCGTAGGAGAACTGAGGTATTGGGTAAGGGTCAGGCCACTCAGCCAAATCCACGGTACCAATAGAGTGGGTAGACAAGCTCCCCGTGTCCAGTGTAGAGTCAGAGCCTTCTCCCGAATCAGCAGTAAGAAGAACTTTCAATGTTGCTCGGTCTGCAGGAAGTTCTTGTATATCTTGCAGATTGCAGAGCGCGTTACCAAAGTCAGGGTCCTCAAATTGTACAGAAAAGCTACCTCTTATTCCCAATTTGTTTCGGAGTATCTCATAAAGTTTTTCAACAGTAGGTGGTCTTTCTTCAATGGTCAGGCGCCTTATGTCATTTGGAGATAGGATTACTCGTAGTAGCATTGTGGATTGCCTCAGCTAGAGAAAAGAAAAACAGTTCCTATTAGAGCTGGGCAATTAAATGAAATTTCATCGAAATCACAATCTCTACTTTGGTCAATCTCAATATCTGATAAGAGGTGAAAAGGTTCACATGGTTACTGTTCCGACTTTTTATGTTATAGCCCTCCGAAGGGGCTAACGGCAGGCAGCACACATGGCATGACTCGTGTTTGTCATATTTTGTTAATTTATTAGAACAAATGTTTGACCACAGGTCATAAACCTGGAAAGAATACAGAAATAAACAATTACCACTAATTGTCCCTTTAAATTATTTGCCACTAAACTGAACATTGTTATTTGTAAATAAACATTTAGTACTTATTTACATGTAATACAAAATAAACATTTGTAAAGCAAATAAACACATTATCGGGCATTTCCCCGTGTAGCCGCGGCAAACCACCGAAAAACTACACTACCCAGCATGCCTGGCGCCGAGTGCGCCTGCGCTATGCGTGCCTCTGCTCTCTCATGTGTCAGCACGAACCGAAACAAACTATCGCACACATACAGCGCTCCACACGTGTCTCCGCTACCACCCGTGCAGTCTACTACTGCTACAGTCCACCTGTATCTGTGGTTATGGAAGAAAGAGACTCCTCTATGTCAATTTATGTTTTAATGACAGAGATGAGGAAGCCCTGCAATAAACAAACATAGTACACTATCGCTTATAAATACATGTACAAAATGCAGTGGCTTGAAACAAATGTAAATATAGAAAACATAACTTACATAAAAACAAGAACAGCACGCTAGGGTTAGCATCAGGAGGGTAAAACTTTCAATCCTGCGGACCCTCGACTCACTCGCTGATCTCAACCAAACCGCTAGCGGCCTCTAGTGGTAAACTCTTCATCCCCCCCAGTCCGTAAAGCTATTAAAATATAATAGATAAACTGACTCAATCTTGTATCCAACGGCCCGACTCAGGCTCATAACGCTTGGGAGGCCTACGGGGGCGGCCCGGAGGCGAGGGCGGCAACACGTGGGACGGCGACATGGGGGGCAACATAGCGGGGGCAACAACCGCAGGATCGGGGCCATCATCCACTGGCGAAGCATCCGGAACAGAGACACAAGGTCCAGCCACCTTCGGAGCGACCGCCTGTGAGACCGCAGGGTCTGGGAGGATCGGGCGGGGCCGCTGATCCAAAACCACGGGTGGCGGCGAGCACACAGCAGTCTCCAACCGGGAACAAGGGGTAGCCGGGGTGAAGGCGCGAAGGAACCGTCGGTTGCGCAGAGTCAGGCGACCAGACCCATCGACCTTGACGCGATACTGATCGCACCCCAACGACTCCACAACAACACCAGACTTGTCCCACTTGTTGGGGCTCGAACCCTGCTGATTTTGGAGGAAAACTGTCTCACCAAGCGCTAGTGGGCGGAGCGGCCTTGAGTGGGCCCGGAGGGACTCAGTAGTTCGGGACATCCTAGCACGGAGGGCATCCTCCCTCGCCACCCACGCCTGGCGCCAGAGTGGCCGGATGTTTGGGTTAGAGTACTTCTCCAGTCTGTTCACGAACAAGAGCGAATCTCGAAGGGGGCGGCCGAAGATGATCTGAGCCGGTGAGATATCGCAGTCCGGGTCCGGAGTGTTGCGCAGCTGCAACATGGCACGTAGAAAGCGGTCGTGGTCAAGGCTGCCAGTCGGGCCAGTGTTAGAAGCCAGGAGGCGCTTGGCCGTCTTCACCGCCACCTCCGCTCTCCCATTGGACTGGGGGAATGCGACGGAGGACACACGATGCCTCACATGCCACAAGCGGAGGAAGTTCTCGGTGTGGCTCGCCATAAACTCCGGGCCACCATCGCTTGAGAGTTCCTCTGGCACACCAAAGGTTGCAAAAAATTCGCGGAGGTGGCGGACCAGGCCCCTTGAGCCCCCCAGATCGGACCCTGCTGTGGAGCTCAGGACCTCCACCCAGCCCGAGAGACGGTCCCCAACCACCAGGTAGTGTCGGCCACCATAATCAAAAAAATCAGCGAAAACCGCCTCAAAAGGTGTGGACGGAGGAGGGGACCACAGGGGTGGTGTGGCAGCTTGCGAAGGGGCATTCCGATTGCAGTCCGCACACCCATTCCTGGTGGCCCGAATATCCTTCGTCATGCCCGGCCAATATACTATGGCACGTGCACGCCGCTCCATCGCTGAAGTACCTTGGTGGGCGGCATGGAGGTGTCGAAGCACATTATCGCGAAGGGATGGGGGGACCACGACGCGATCATAATACAACAGAACACCATCTTGTGCGTAAAAGGACTCACATGCCGGTGACAGACTTTTCAGCACCGGGTCATCCTTATCAATCATGCCTCCATGTTCAATGAGGCGCAGGAGGTGGGCAAAGCATGCGTCAGCAGCAGTCTCTTCCGCGAGGAGGGGCCACGAGACGGCGCCAAGCACCTTAGCATCTTCACGAATAGAGGCCATCAAAGCAGACTCCGCATCATCTTCAAACCCCCGACTCCCCAAACAGAGGCCGTTAGTTGAGCCCGAAGGGGAAGGATGCCTCGACGCTGCATCGGCGGCATGATTACTCTTGCCAGGAAGGTGCACAATCTCAAAGCGCCACGGGAGGGTGCGCTGCTTTAGTCTAAACAGGCGAGAATTTGTTATCTCGTCAAGTGTACGGTCGCCAAAGATCTTCACCAGAGGTTTGTGGTCCGTGACCACAACCAGATTGTCACTACCCTGCGTAAAGTATCGCGTCTGCTCAAGGCCCCAAGCCACGGCCAGGGCCTCCCCCTCAACAGCCGCGTAACGTTGCTCCGCCGAGGACAGGAAACGCGAACCCGCGAGGGTAATCCTCCAGCCTCCAAGGCAGCAGTCCGGAACCCCAGAAGGGCAGCTGCAATGTTGTTGGAGCAGGAAGTAACCAACACCACGCCTGGACCAATCGGGGCGAAGGCACGTGCGTCGCTGCGTGTCATAGATTTCCACGCCTCTCCGGATAGCCTCAATTATGGCACGCTTGGACTTCTGGAAGGCCTCCTCAAGATCGGCAGACCACGAGAATCTGCAGCGGGGACTGAGGAACGGCTTAAATGGTGCCATGGTGTCACGCAATTGGGCATAGTTGGCCACCTGGTTGACAAGGCCGAACCAGCTTCTGATGTCTGTAGTGGACACCGGGGAGGGGAAGTCACGGATAGCGTCCAAGTACTTAGGTAGCGGCTCAATGGTATCATCCGAGACTCTGAAACCAGCAAAATCGACACACCTCTGCGCAAACTGGAACTTGTCAGGGTTCAATACAATGCCACACTCACCAACGTGTGTGAGAAAGTCAATGGTTCTCCACCAGTGCTGTTCCAGGTCAGAGTCATAGTGAATAGTGTCGTCAACACAGCGCTCCTTACGCTCATAGTCTGACAGGACAGCATCAAAGCGACGGTTGTAGCCATCACCTGAGGACAGAAAGCCTTGAGGTGCTCTGGTGTACCGCCAGCGGCCGAAAGGAGTGATAAAGGTGGTCAGATGACGATCGGACACACGAAGGGGAACACTATGGTATCCATTCCAGGCATCAGTGACAGTTTTCCATGTGTCCTTGGGGATTCGGCGCGCCAGATTGAACGGGGACTCAGTAGCGAATGTCTCACGCTGGCAGAACTTGTTAAGAGGCGAGAGGTCCACCGTCCTGCGGGGAGAGCCATCATGCTTACGGGTGACTACCATACGATGGCACTACGTCACAGGCTCACCGTAAGGCACACGTTCAATGACACCGAGGGCCTCGTCCCGCAAGAGGTCATCCTGGACTCTCTGCTGCCAGTGTAAAGGCACTGTGGCTGCTGTGTGGCACGCTTTCGGCGTCGCTGCAGGGTCCACGTGTATCTCGACGGGAGGCCCCTTCATACATGGCAATGACTGATGGGGACAGGTGTTAAATGTGGATGACGCGAATCTCTCAATTAGCCAGTCCTTCATTCGCTGATTATTCTCTGGCATACAGGGGAAGGGCAGTATAGGGGGGCGCGACGGGGGCGCAGTACGCTGGGGGCACGAGCACTGTGCATCCAGGGTTATTTTTGTGTCCCCGCGACCGTCTGGGCCACACTCCACGGCATCGACAGAGATGGGTTCTTTGACAGAGCCCGACGGAAAGCCCAAGGGCAATAGGCTGAGGTTAAGTAGTGACTCATAGGACAGGTACATTGCATGAACCGAGCTGCTCACGTACACCATC